ATCCATCACATGCATTCCAGGTTTGCTCTAATTGCTATCTCAAAGGGCGATTGGTTCCTCCCACAGTTTGAAGATCTCGCAGTGCGAAGTGGTTATCCAACCCTGGAGCTGTGAATCTGTATTCTTAGCATCATTAACTGATCCTGCAAAGCCTACAGCAATGCTCAGTTCATCTGACATTGTCCTTGTAGATCTGCTCCAGGTAGGCTACGCTTTCTCCTGAGGTCTTCAAAATCTGTCAAGTCAGCCATAGCTCCTAGCGAATGAGGCCTCCGGTTTCAGTGGCTTGTACAATAATCCACAAGCCTAAGGATACAAGCTGAGACAAAGACAGAGAATCGTTGAGACTGGCGCCCTGTGTTATCTGTGTATTGCACGTATGACAAGTCCGTCTTTGCAACCCTCTCGGGTTTGTGGATCTGTGTGGTGTGATGGTACTAAGTTACTACTAAGTTACTAACCCAATTGTCCGTATGCCGTAATCTCGTAACTTGACCACCAGATGGACTCTTGAAAGTTACAAGGACGTAACAGCAAAATTGCCAGGGGGCCCGATACGGATTTTTTCACCGAATCCATCCAAGCAGTTCGATTCGCTGGTTCGGGACCTCAATACTGTCATGGAAGAGGTATCAGCAGCAAATGGACTGAAAAGGAGGCAGACTCATGCATCCATGTCCTCTGACGGAGCATACTTCGACCAGACTCAGGCATGATAAATTTCTGGTCCAGGCCTTACACAGCAGAGTGAGCTGACACAGCATCACTTTCTGACTGACTTGAGCCGCTGTGTGCCCTGGGGTGCCCGGCGAAGCAACTTGGAGGCCGGGTGCCGACCCAAGCCAGCTACGAGGTTAGCTGGATGCATCATTGTTCCACCTCGTTGACGGCTGCTGACGGAGGTAGCCCCCCAGGGATGGAGGAGTGTGTCTGGAGGAAATGGGAGTGACCGCAGCTCTGCCAGAAGGCGGCCTGGTTATGGAGTGGAGGGGTATGATGCTGCATGACGTCAAGCTCCAAGAGAGAGAGAGAGAGAGAGAGAGAGAGAGAGAGAGAGAAGCCCGGCGCACGGCACCTCCAAGGCATCGAAGCACGAAGTTTGGGTTTAATCATATGAGTGACATCAAGAGAGGATATACGAAGGGAAAGAGATGATATCTAGGGATGAGCGGCACGTGATGTCCATAGGGAGGAATGAGAGAGAGAAGTGAGGCTCCTACGCCGCCAGTACACTGCCCAGGCGAACTTCTGAATCCACAATGAGTCATTCCGAAAAGTTCGGGTGAACAGTGCTACCGGACCAAAATGGCTGGCTGCGCCAGGAAAAAACACCATCCTAGCATTTCGGCAAAGCTTGGCAAGCAGGGGGAATCCCCTCGGCGAAAAGAGGCTCGGATGTACTTGTGGTCTAAGAGAAAACTGAATGTGGTGTTCTACAAGCTGGGAGACGCTGGGAGAGGGGCCGCATGAATTGTTCTTTCTATATGCAGTCAGTCATTCATTCTTCGATCGAGATGCTGCTATTAAACCACCACTACCTTTCATAGGCACTCTCGAAGCCTCCTAAGAATGTGGTATAACCTATACCGCATTCTTCAGAGGGCCAGGCGCCACTGGACCAAAATGGCTGTGGGCACCACCCAGAACAAAAAAAAAAGGAAGTCGCGCTGGCAATTCGGCGAAGCATGGCACGAAGTTCTTTGCCGCCCCGAGAAAAAGAGGCTTGGAGGTAGTGGTGATTTAACTATAACAAAGGGCAAGACCAGTTCTCACAGATCAAAACCATACTTGCAACCGCACGAGCCGCATCTTCGTGCGGTGCGGTGCGGTGCGGCATACGGTGTGCGGAGGGTTCCTGTGTGGGTGCAGACTTGTGCGGAGCCGTGCGCTCTCAGCCCTGCACC